CGCTAGAATGAGTACGAAACGCAAGTAGTTCTTGTTTTCGTTTTTGTTCTTGTTCAGCGCGACTCTATAGATACATCGTACGTTTCGTGAGTGCCTAGAACATTCCATACCGTAATGGACCTGGGTAAAGCGATAGTAACGCAACAACGCAGCTTGTGGAAGTCGATTATCGGATGACCCGACACAACCTCGCCCTAGCCATTACAGAGTGTGGGAAGTGGCCTTCAATGATGTAGCGCCTTGCTCATTTGCTTCATCAAATGACAAGGACACGACTTCTAGTATAAGCTCTAAAGCTATGTGACAGCAGCGAAGCACAACTTTCTTCAATAAATCAACTCACAGAGAAGCAGCTGACTTTGCCCCACTACGCCAAGGTTTCGAATCATGCACATGATAATCTCACGCGCGACAAAGTGGATAGGACTCAACTCGAGAGAGGCAGGACCTCGAAGCCGTAATCGATTCTAGAAGGAATCGCCCGGAGAGGAAAAGTGTGTTGTGTTCATGACACATCAAGTACCACAATTTTCACGAAGTACGTGAAAATTTGAAGCAAGTTCCTCAAGAGAACGTGTATCGATCGATTACAAGGCGAACGTTGCTCGATAGGGCTGATACTGATAATCGTGGCGCTACGTCCATCCTTCCAATTGTGCTAGAGGGTGAAGGGGATCCTGCTATGCAGATACAGTTATACTTAGATATGTATAGATATCGATATAATAAGCTCACGTACACACGGCCTGCCAGTGTTCACGTTCGTCCTCATGTGCACCACGCACAAACAGCGTTAGAGCCATCGATATGACTCCTATGACTTGCTGGGACGCGAGAGGACAGCCTGGATGTGTTACAGATATCGGACAAGAATAGAGACATTCCTTGTGCTGTACTAGGAAGATGGGAGTGCTTTTCTGACGGCGCTTGCCTACCGTGGGTCACTTGGGAACACAATTGAATGTGGGGCTGTGCTGTATGTGAACCCAATTATTGTATCCGTCAAAGTATTCCTAACCACAAAGCCCCGCTGAACTCGAGGGGCTGCTTTACCAGTCATCCTAGTATGCACGCAGCGATGGTCCGTGATGATTATAAGGTCCGAGTGAAGATAGATTGCGGTGAGAGGGTTGATGGTAGCCTCGTGTGATAGGCGCACCCAGGCACAGCCACCACAGCCACGGCGAAATTTCTTTGTTTCCGTCTTGATCACTTCCATTCCACCGTTGTCTCATTAAAATTTCGGATCCTCTATAGATATATAACTGCGCAAGCGCAAGCGCAGGCCCACATTCCATATCCACACAGTCCATCCTTGCAAAGGCTATCATATCTACCCCGTGTCATTATGGCGAGTTCCAGCTTAAGACCCGCACAACTTCCGACAACCACACACACTCCTCCAAAGGACATGCTTGCCATGGCGCAGCGACGTCTGAACGCACTTTCTCATCGCCCAATAACAGCCCATCGTGCCCGTCCTATTCCCAACTCTTACTGGGCGACGTCTCAGCTGCTCGCGTGCGAGTACCCCTGGACACCCAAAAACCCCAATAAACCCAAACTAGATGCCCTCCTGCGCGCAGGCGTGCGCACATTCATTGACCTAACCGAAGCGGGCGAGTTAATATCCTACGAAAACATCCTCTGTGATCGTGCAGAATTGCTTGGGATCGACACAGACAGCATCGAGTACTACCGCTTCCCCATCCGTGACCGTTGCTTGCCCGAGTCACTGAAGCTCATGTACGACGTTCTTGATGTCCTGCGCGACAACGAGGCCCGCGGCCGTGTGAGTGCGGTGCACTGCAGAGGCGGCATTGGGCGCACGGGCATGGTTATTGGGTGCTGGCTCGTCGACAGCGGCCATGCGAAGAACGGCGAGGACGCACTCAAGATTATTGCGAGAGAGTGGAGAACAGTAGAAAAGTGCAAGCGCTATCCCCACAGTCCTGAGACTGGCTCTCAATTCGACTATGTCCTCAATTTCCATCCGAAAACGCTGAGCTCCGCCCGGTACGTTGTCCAACTGTGTTTTGAGAAATATTTTACTTATTCTGGTCCCATAGCTTCCTATAGGACGCATTGAGCTTACTTCTCTTGACATTTCATCCTCCTCACATTGTACACATGGACTTCACTTTCCTATCCTTGCACACTCCGTCATTTGCATTCGAACGCCAGGAAGTTCGACACATTCATATGGACATTAGCATTTATACATAGCATTTCTTTCATCCATCCATACCGCATAGTTTGTCTAGACATCTTAATTGCTAATTTGTACATTCCGATACGGTTTCATGCCCAGAGTTGCGTGTCGTGTGCCAACTTTGAGGTAGATAGGGGAAATTTTGATGGGGGGGACACTTTTGCGATCATTGGTGTGACCAATATTTCAAGCCACGTTGCTTTATATCCATCACGATGGGGAAGGACAGGTGCGAGTCTCCAGACCGCGAATCGAACGTGAAGGGCCAAAAGGAATACAGTCAGACTGGTGAGATTCCCACTAACTGCACCGTGCCAGGTCTATACTTACTCAAGCTTCGTTTTTCTTGTTCACTTGAATTCTGCGTCCACATAATTTCAATCATGCTTAACATGGGGCATGACCACTCTTTACTACGTGGTCTACGAACCTGAAAATGTAGAGAGATCAAGCTCGCGTGATCGATACCGGCAGCGCAGGGACGATTTCGAGCGCCATGAACGTGTTGCGAAACACGGGGATGGCGAAGATATGAAATTTCCACAAGCGTCGTCCGAAAGGCGGATCTACGAGTCAAGAGACGCCCTCTCAAGCTTCCGCAAGAAACACGATGATGAAGAAAGTTCCTACACGGAACGCGGGCACTATTCCCGCAAAGACGACCGCCACAGAGTGAGTATCCGTTTCACCCAAGTACATTGATGTATCTAACACCACCCACAAAGGACTCCAATCGTCGCCATGAACATACAGAATCCAAGCGCAAGCGCAGCCGCAGCCGCAGTCGCGACCGTGAGCGCGAGCGTGCAATTGTACGTCCTCTCTTTGGGATCCAAATACAACGCTGACCTCCGAAGACATGACCCTACCCTGCTAAACACCAATCCAGGACCGTGCGCGTTCGCAATCTCCTCCTCCTCGCGGCCGGACCTCCAGGCGCTCGCCGAGCCCATCCTCACGTTCGCGGTCCTCGTCTGAATCCTATTCATCGGACTCAAGTCGCTCGGAGGATAATTACCGTGACCGCCGGGGTAAACGCCGTCATAGGGCCTCCCGCTCCCGCTCTCCACGGAGGCACGAAAGTAGCAGCAGGGCGGAACGGCAGGAGCGAGAGAGGGACAGGGGCAAGTCGAGATATAAGGATAAGAGCAGGAGGGACCGGTCCTCTTCTCGCGATCGCGATCGTGACCGTGATCGTCGCAAGAGGCGAAAGGATAAAGAAAAGAAGAAGGATAAGGAGGAGCGAAGGAGTGTCCTTACTGGCAAGAAGGTACTTCT